GGTCCTTTTTTTGAAAACTATTATTTTCTTAGGGGGGTGGGTCACCTATGCAGATATATTTTGAACGTACATGTCACAGTTCAGTCCCACTCCCCATGACTGTTTCTAGATAATATGTGAGGTAGCGTGGTGGAATCAGGCTCTCGTCAATGTTTGGGCATGTAGAGTTATTGGTATCATCCTAAAGCTTGTTCACTTGTCTTTATGTGGATGAAAAAAATATCCATTTATCTAGAATACAAGTCGAGATATTTGCAAATGAAGGAGGTGGGAGTCACCTGTTTTCAGAGGTAAATTGGTGAGAAAATGGCCGCCAAAGATTAGTTATTTCCTTAGCTTAAGAGTCCATTGTAACTGAAAATTTAAATTTTTTGTGCCTTTAATCAACGTTTTTCAATAAAATCCACACAGAAATGAGTTTTTTAATGAGCATGAAGGGTGTTGAACCAAAAAACAAAAAATGGATAAAAATTCACAAACCAGCGGGAAAATGCCAGTTTCTTTACTTTGATTGTTTTGACGAGAGCCTGATTCCACCACGCTGCCTCACATATGTTTGCAACGTACTAAATCATTATTGTGATATTGTTATAGGTTTTCTGTCAGTGTGAAAAAGATTGATAGTATCACTCTGATTTGTGATAATTTTTTCTGACAGAGTATCGTATATGACACTAAAAGGGCAGTTACAAAAAATGTATGAGACCTAGGAAAGTAAATCTTCAGTACGTTGCAGGTTGTACATGCATATACATTGTGTTCAAATATCAAGGCTGTATTAATCCCTCCATAGAATTTGATCGAATTTTGGTCTGTCGAAGCCTTTGCATCTAAAGAACTAAAAAAGAAATGACAGTGAAATCATATCGGGAAACTTGGTGATTGGGAATCCCTGTATACTTAATTTAGAGCCCCAACAATGATTTTCACTTTTGTTGTACCTAGTGCCCCTTAAGTAAAAGGTAAGAAACATGTCGACATTCACGACAATGCTTATAAAGTGCTCGGGTGGGGGTGGGGGTGGGGACAGCAGTGTTGAGGGGAGCAAAACATGCATACAGAAATAAAAAAGATTATTGTAAAGAAGTAAAACCTAGCAGTCAGTGGAAAGCTCAAACCCGACACCTCCGTAATTTCGTTTGACAAGTTTCAGCTAGCATAATAGATGAGTCTGTTTCAGAATACCAAAATGCTGAGGGTCGTTTGGTTGATGGCAAATGACAAACAAAATTTAAAAGACACAAAATAACACCATCAGATTTCAACCTTGTCATAGAGAAGACGACTAAAGGAAATTTATAGTTGGAGCAATAACAAAACAATAAGTGTATAACGTCATCCCATATGGCATGCACTTTCTGAGTACCCAATTTCTCATTCATTGTAAACGTTTATCTACAGCGGAAGACCGAGGGAATCGAGAGTATTCCCCTCTCGTCAATCAAAGTCACATTTTTCTTGCGAGCTTGGCTTGATTTCTAGCGTCTGTTGGGCAGCGGTAAGGCGCTTCGCTATCGCACGAAGAAGACTAGAATACGGTTCCCGTATTGGGAGAAATTTTTATCGGTTGTCTCAGTCTTTCTGCCGGGACCTTGTATCCCTCTCAGCATGAGTTGGCCTTGACTAGTAGGGTCGAAGCCTGCTTCATAAATAATCTAATATAAGTTGTATCAATATGCGGCATATAATTATTTACATTAAAACGAGAAATTACAAAGAGCTTAACATTTATACCACAGACGCCTAACTGAACACGTGCTGAAATGACAAAACAGCGAGTTAAAACCAAAGAGGTTATAATAGTACAAGAGGCCGCAGCTGTTGTGACGTCACCTAAGTAAACTCACTATGGCTGTACAGGCCCACTCAGCTCACGTTGTCGCCATTTTCTAGAGGATTAGAAGCAGCGCTGTCACGTTGCGCGTCCCTCGCAACGTGTAGGTCTTTATAGAGTTTGAAGCTTAGTTCAGCTTTATTTTAAGTTTTCTTTTTGTTTGCTGTTGTTGCTGTTCATATAACAGACATGAATACACAATACGCACCTGTTGACCGATTGTGAGAAACATAAATGCACTTAAATGTTGGCTACAATTAATGAACAGAGAGATATAATATAAGGTATTGTTTGTTTTTCCCTGGTGGGGGGGGGGGGGGGAGGGGAGGGAAGCAAAGTGAGTCATTGAGTTTGTTAAGTAAAAGGACAATTTCATACTTACAAAATGGATTGCTTTTACGTCATGTTGTCAACATTCTCCTTCTATTAACTCAACTTCTGGGTTTTCATGAGGTATGAAGGGGGTTAAGACTGGGTTAATTATTTAATATATTAAGTCGTTATTGTCTCAAAAAGAGCAATTAATCGTAGGCTGGGATACTGTAAATCACTCATTATAAGGAGCCTATGCGCACACCAAACGAGCGTTGTTTAATATCGGGCACAAATAATTATAATAATAACAACATTTTAAAATGAAGCACTTAGATAAATAGCCTGTTTATCTTATATGTTCACAATATCTTCCAAAATTGGCGTTGATTGACAATGGTGTTTGGCTACATAACACCCCATCTTCCATGAACCCCTGCTGATGCTGTTGCCCATGCTATTTGGCATCGGTTCCGCAAATGAGACAGAATATTACGCCGGACTTATAGGTAGGTAGTAACGCCTGGTTTACTACTTTATAATCTCTCATCTCAACAACATCCTCAGTAGTTCTTTTCCGTTCAACCAGCATTGATGGTGTGCTAGATTTGCAGTTGAAGCTTCAAGTAGCTTCTCAGTCACATTCCTGATTCCAGAGGGCCAATACGAGTGCCTTATTGTGATCAGCGGTGCTAAATCTAGACATACAGTTTGGGCGACGCACAGCAAAGATTAAAAAAAAATTAGGTTTTTTATTTTAACAACTGATCATCAAGT